ATGTCCTTTTAGCAAACATTTTTTCATTCAGTTTCTCAAGATTATGACCAAATTATACTGAACTAGCATTGTCTATTAATTAGTCCCATTCAGTACATGTTAAAGCTACCTACTTTAAGTTTAATTTCTTTCAGATTAATCCAAATAACCTCAAACTCATGTTTTTGCACTAATGTGAAAGGAGAACTTGTAATGAATTAGAGAAACTTTTTCCTGCAGATTTAAATGTTGTCATCTTGGATAGATCCATTATTGTGGTGTAAAAGTTAGAGATAAACACCTATTTTATGTTATAAAGTCAGTTTCCTTATTCTCTTTAATATTTCACCTGTACATTTTTCAGTCATCTGTATCTAATTCAGGTTTCTGTTCTCGTCTGGAGTGTTGCAGTTTTACTGTGAGTCCTGTCAGTGTGGAATTCTAGTCCAGTTATTGGTTTGAAAGTTTTGAATATTCTCCAAACAGTATTGTCCCTGAGCCCTGGCGTGTGCGCCTGTATGTGTGTGTGTGTGTTGGGAGGGGTCGTAGGCAGGGCTGGCCTGATTGCACACAGTAGCCTTTCTTCCTCATTAACGCAGCGGTGCACCTGTGATCACTCTGATATTCTCTTTGAGAGCATTAGGGTTCCCAGCGGGGGATTCACAGGGGGGGCGATGGGGTTCAGCATTTTGATCCCGGTGAAATGGGTGTGGCACGCTCACCCGACAGCTCGCCTCATGTCTGCTGGGTGGGATAAAAGGAGAGCCTCTGTTGTAGACCATGCATTGCTTGCATATAAATACAGAAAACTGTGCAAAAGTCAAATAGATCCAAAAGGTTTGGAGAAAATGTTTTGTGTGTAATATCTGTGTAAGTGTTACTTGCTAATCACCATTAAAGCTAATTGTGTACAATTTTTATGCAAAGGCCTACCAGACTAATCAAGTGCAATAAGAGAGTATCAGAAACGATCTCTCTAAATATATTCACTTTGTTTGCATGATTGATTATGTGGTTGTTTATGCAAATGAGCAGAATTAATCAGGCTTCCTGTTGTTTTTAGACTTGGATGGAATCTCTCAGACCTAAAAGAAACAAGATATTTTTGCTCATTCACTGGTGTACAGTATAAAACTCTTGTCATTCARACAAGCTTTTGGTTTCTTTAATGTAGGATCATCGAGTTCTAAAGAGGCCCAGTGACTCGTTCATAGAAACTAAAGTTCCTTTAATGGCATTCAATGCAGAAAGAGCTGTTTCATGTCTTGATTAAATTAAATAACAGATCTTTGACACTTTTAAATTGATTTAATATTCTATATAATGGTTGTGTTTAGAGGAAAAAATGGGACTATGATCAAAACATAGCATGTTTCGTTTCAGATTATGTAAACCAATCATAGCTCAAAAACATTAATTTGTGACTTTTTCCTTTTTTGATTTAAAATTTGCAGGATTTTTTTTTGTTTTATATTAAAATAGACGTAAAGCAATGCAGCCTTTTCCTCTGACTGGGTGAAGGTAAGTTAATTTAGTTGGCACTTAGTTTGTAGTTTTCAAGGATTTTCAACACTGTGATGATGATCACAGTGGTTTGGATAGAAGGCCTTTGTTGGAGCACAGAGGTGAGTCCGTGTGCTGTCGAGGTTTGATTGGAAAAAGGGTCTTCTATTTATAAAGATAGGAAGATGACCAAAACCTCATACCTGGTCCTTTGTTCATAAATGTCTCTTCTTTCACAGTTTTTAATAAGGATGAAGGAGCCATCACTGTCACTGTCAGATTCTAACTCAAAAGATTTTCCACACCTGTAGCAAAGTGGGATATTACTGTTGAATATTTGATAAATTAACCTTCTGAGGTTAAATCAGTCACTCGGGTCGGCAAAAAACTCATGTTTAACAGTATATTTTCAGTGAATTCAAATGATTTTAAAAACAGCCTCTCAGTTTCTGTGCCGACGTCAGAACAAAGAATCAGCTCTTATCTAGTCAAGAGCTTCATAATTCATCAGGCAACACTATGTCATTTTATGAAGTTCTGCRTTATTAATCCCACAGGAGATTACTGGTTCGGTCAGTGAGGTTGGGGCTGAAGTGTTGAATCTGTTTAATGAGACAAAACATGTCAAGTTACAGATGTGACGGTCGAGATTAAACCTCAGCATTAATTTTTTTTTACTGTAATACTGAAATGACTCCCGATAAAATAAGATATGACAAGATGCTGAAGCATATTGAGATTTTTATTGAGGTATTGTGCAATGTCCAGGTCCAAACGTCACGCCAAAGTTAAAAAAAAAGTACTGGATGGTCCAAATCTGCCTATCTTGATTTCTAAAGGGTTCACTAGTAGATCCCAGGCAGAGATGAGGAATGAAATAATAGATACAGCCTAGTTGTGGCATTAGCCTACACTGGAGAGAACCCCCCCTTGCAAACCCATAAACAGTGCTACAAATTATGTAAACATCAACTTTTAAAAGAAATTCTTACTTTTATTCACTATTCAATAATTATTATATTTGTTTAGCATAAGAATTATATGAATGAACATGTTTAAAAYACCGTATTACAGTATATTTTCACACACAAAAAAACATTTCTACATACTGTTGATAAGAACAGAACAAAAACAAACCTCTTTCTTAAATAACAAAGTTGTGGAATTATTTATTTAATAAGGAACAGACATGACAGAAAGAATAAATTTTGTAGAATGGACGTCAGTTTGTTTATTGCGGTAATCAGCTCTCTACCAGACATCTACTGTTAAACAAACATCTTAAGAAAGATTTCATACTAAGGGTCTCTTTGGGTC